ATACTTGAGTATATTTCTTATGTTGTTAGTAAATAGAAATGAAAGTTGGTTTCTATTGCTTATTCTCTTAATAATCTCTGTTTGTTTTATTAAAAAGAAGGGGAAAAGGAGAAAAAAGTGAGAGGTGGAATGTTCTCTGAAATTATTCAGTCTAGAGCTTTAGCTTTGGGCTGCCATAAAGTGTTGGTAACTACTTTAGTATTGGATACTTTCTAACTGCATGTACCTTGGTGTCTACATAAAAGAAAAACTCCATAATTTGGTAAAGGATAAAAAATGAAAATCATTGTAATTCACTGGGTGTGTTTTTCTGAGACAGGTTATGTATATGTATATGGCCCTGGGGCAGGATAAGGGGCGAGATAAAAGTATTACTAGAATGACTCAATACATGCATGGTTTTTAAAAATAAATGCTTTCCTATGTGCTTTAGCAGCTACATTTTCATCTGATCTTTTCTCTCATTGTAGTTACTAAATGAACTGAGTGTTGTGGAAGCCGAACTGCTCCTGAAATCCTCCAGCCTCGCAGGCAGCTACACCACGGGCCTCTGTGTCTGCATCGTGGCTGTTCTCAGGCGCTACCACAGCTGTCTGATCCTGAACCCTGAGCAAACAGCCCAGGTGTTTGAAGGGTTGGTATATTAAGTATCATTACTGTTTCACATCGTATAATGTATAATTGTGATGAAATATTATAGTATTATAATATTATCTAATCTAATAAAAGACAAACATGCAAATTGACCATACCTTCCCTATGCCTTAAACCACACCCACCAGCCAATCAGAGCGACTATATGCAAATTAACCCAACCAAGATGGTGGCCGGCAGCCACGGAGCTGGAGCGAGCAGGAGGCTTGGTTGCTCCAGTGATGGATGAAGCCAAGCTTCCTGCCTGCCACGGCCGGCTCTGAGCTCCACTCAAGGCAACAAAGTTTCAATTATAGAAGATAAATAAATCCCAGAATAAAGAAAAAAAGAAGAGGCTGGGAGCTTCCATCGCCGGGGGGCTTGGCCAGCCTGAAAACGGCCATCAGCCCCTCACCCAGACTGGCCAGGCAACCCAGTGGGGATCCCCCCACCCTAAAGGGGGTGTGGCCAGCCTGAAAATAGCCATCAGCCCCTCACCCAGGCTGGCCA